ATTCGAGATGATGTTTTTCTGATGATGACGAGCTAGATATATTTTTTTATGTGAGAAGCCTGATAGCAGTGATAGTTTCAAAACACTAAATATTATATCGATCATGTTTATAGTTTCTTCTGCTAATATACTCCCTCGTGCCTCTCCATATAAAAATTAGATAACTGATTTGTAAATATTAAAAAAAATTATAGTCCATTTATTTATTTATTAAAAAAGTATATTGATTTTTCTAAAATATTTTTTAATCATTTAGATCAGAATTACCTCTTAATAGAAATCACCTTCATATATGTAATTAATATAAATTATTTTAAAAACTTTAAATTTAAAATATAAAGTAAATTAAAATCTTATATTTAGTAGTACCAAAATAAAGCTACTTATGAGTTTCTATATTTAGTAAGAAATAAAAATAAAAATAGAACCAAACTGGCCGGTTCAACCTGAAAACCGTTCAGTCATCTGATTTGGTTTGGGTATTGAACCAGTTAAAAATTGAATCAGTATTGAACCAATTAAAGCGACGGTAAACAAATGAAAACCAGTAAAATTAGTGATGAACCGGTTTGAATGATTATGTTGTTATTGTTTCTATTTTTTCTCAGTCACTATAAATTTAAATAAATTTTAATGGTAATTTTGATATCAATTATTATTAATTTTAGTTATTGACGAATCTTATAGATCAAAATTCTTCGTGTTGTTGTAATTTATTATTATTACAATCAAACTATTGTAATATTTTCTTTTGTTTTGTTTTAGTAATCATTAATGTTATATTTTGTTATTTTTAATTAAATTATTAATTTAATATGACCGACTTGATTCCAAATTAACTCCAATCTAACCAACTGAATTTTGAACTACTGTCTCAATCGGTTTAGTATTCGGTTTATTTTTTTGTTCCTTGATAATTAAAAACGAAAGGGAGTACATCTTACTAAAATCAACTTTATATGACCGGAAAGACGGCACATTCTGCATCCGCTTCCAGCTAAGTTTATTACTTATAAGAATGTAATATTTAAACTAATTTAAACTAATTTAAACTATTTTCTTAATTTGTGATTCCATCAGAAGTAGTCTTTAAAATCGGACTGAAAATTGTGTTAAGGTGTCAGTGTCATGCGTGCAAAGCGCAACAAAATATTTATTCGCTCTATTGTACGATCAAGAGGAGAGAAAAAAATCATAATACTACCTCCGGTCCTAATTATAAGAGCCAGTTAATTAATTTGAAGAGATTAAAGAAGTAAGTTGAATTAGTTATTTGTCATAAATTTGTACTGTCTTTCCTAAAATATCCTTACTAATCAAGTGTATTGATTAGAACTATCATTGTTAGAATGACTCTTTGAAAAAAAATGTATAAATATGAGAGATAAAATGAATTGGGGTCTTATATTTAATATCAAAATAAAAATCAAACAGGATTTATATTAAAGACCAGAAGTAGTATAATAACCTGTATATACTAGAGTGAGAATGAACATGTCATGCGCAGGTACATCTCTAATTTTATATTAAAAGGATAAGTTCAATGAGACGGTGAAGCAATCGAATACCTGGTCCGGTCAAAAACTCGGAAGTGCCTAATTTGATTTGGTGACGAAATTGAAATTAAGCCCTTTTTCGTGTGGTTTCTTTTTTTTATTTACCAGTTGCAACGAATGTACAGCAGGCATGGATGCAACCCTAATATACCATATGTAAACTTGTCGTCTCATCCCAAATATATAAAATCCAATAAAGCACGTTGCCTCAAGAGCTGTGTACATACATATCCTTACGAAGTCTTTAATTGGAGGAGACTTACTTTTGACGAAAGCCACCAGCCCTCCCGTGCTTGATTCGTCAACGAAGCCTGCCATTGGAGAAATGCTTAGCCCGTTTTATCCAGTTCGTTCTGAACTCATCATATGCCTCTGTTTTTTTTGTGCTGACGTCAATTTGTAAGCTCCTTTATATTAAGAAGTCCTATTCATTTCGGCGGGACTTCAAAACCCAAGGCGTACACATTTTGAAGTTATAAAATAAAAATTAAATTAAATATATTTTCTTTTATTAAGAAGGTTTAGATTAACCCAGTGATAAGATTATTTAAGTCAAAATATTATACCTCCCCCCTCAAAAAGGGTTTTTATATATATATTTATATACTGCTTACTAGCGAGATATTTATATTATATTAACAATGATATTTAAATTGATATATTTTTATGCACATAAGTTGCTTTCTTACAAATTGAATAAATTTCCATCATCAAACTGAACATATTTTTTTTGCTCGAAGATAAATGAACTTATATCTTTTGTAATAATAGTAAAACTCCCAATAGATTCTGTTATGTAGTGAAGGTTATAACATTTAGACATATTTTGTATGTAACCCTCATAAAGAAAATGGTTAATCGATTATCTCCTTAATAGCCCTTTCCCCTTTGTATTCTGTAAATATTGATCCGTCCTGCTTAATGTAATTATAGGTATTTGCAAGTTTTTTTATATTAAACTTTGAAATACCCACAACTCATTCGCAATTATTTGCAGGGCAAAAATTACCCCTAACCCTGTAATCATTTATACAAGTTAATATTGATCGCAAATTTTAACTCCAACAAAATCCTAAATTATATTACTTAAAACGTCTATAATCTTATACACTAATTAACCTATAAGTTCACTTTTTATTGTTTCCGCTTTTTATGAGTCGGTGGTACAATAATCAACGAGGATTATTATATCTGGTCAATTGGTGGTGCACTTACATTGTTTACTTTTTTTTTAATTATGTCATTGCTTTATGGATGAGGATGGATTTGGCAGTAGCAGATAGTATGAAAGGGAACGCAGCAACCATGAAATTAAATATTCGGTTCAGTCAAGTTGAATAGCTTACTTAGACTTCATATACCTAATTCTCTCTCTCTGAACAAAGTTTGATTAGTATTAAAAAAATTATTTGTAATAATGAGAGTTATGTGAGTAATAGTATTCATCCTTTTCTCGAGATGGCCAAGTTCACTTAACTGGGGCAGTGTGGCATCCAATCAATGTTAAAACCTAAAACCATCGATTTCCCACTAAGATTAATCCCAAAATTACCAGCCTCACTTTGAATCAGTCTGTTAATCCCATGGCTTGGACTCATCTTTCTCTGGCTTGACCCTTCATCCACCAGACCTTGACCATTAATTTAATAGACCATCAATCACGTGACACTCATATATTAATTATATGCACATATGTTGGCGGTTCTTCTCTAAATGGAATATTCACCACGAGAGTAAATTCCTACTAACACACAAATTGTCCGTATATGGCTACTTACACCATCATACCCTTTTTTTTTTTTACTTAGTTTATCAAGAGAAAATTGAAAAAAAAATGTTCTATATTAAAAATTTTAATGAAGAAAATGATGTGGTAAATTTTTATACACGAAAAATATTAATATCATGCATTCGTACAGAGTATAATTATTCCGATTGAGGCCATTCTCACTTGTAAAATTTTGATGAGAGATTTTTCCCAAATTTTCCCACTAATCAATATGAAATGCAAGAGGATGCACTATTTCTTTTTAATATTAGTGAATTCAGCGTATCTCAATCAAATTTGGTTTGTGACTCTTTGAAGAGGGGTGGGTGAGGTGTGGAGAAATTAATGTTCTATAATGCCTAAAGCCATTTGATATTGAAAGACGAGACAAGCACAGTGAGTCTTGAAGGAGAGGAAATCCACTTTCTCAACACTTCTGGGATGGATCCAAGAAGCTTCCTCTGAGCCAAACAGAGTCGAATTCCACTTCCATATTGAGAAGTTACAAGGACTAGAAACATCAAAAAGGAATTTATTAATGAAATCCCACGTGAAAATATAAATATATATATATATAATATATAAATACCTTGATCAAGTCATAAATTCTGCAAATTAAAAGATGTTTTGGTCCAAGTTTCCAACCGCTTCAACTTAGACCAAACCTTCCACAAGAAGTTTCTTTTTGGACAGGTGATATTGGACGCCATTAATAAAATTGTCATGTTCTGATATCGTCTGCACCAATAGTTTTCATGGCAATTTAGGAAACGAAGAAAACCACCAACTTAACCTCCCTCCTTCCTGGTGCTTTCCTATGTAATATCTATGCCCAAAAAGAAAAACAAAATATAGAGGAGAAAGTCTTTTTCTCTTGTACAACATAATTAGTTTTTAGCCTCTTGGGCAAGTAAAGTTTGATATAGCAACCCGCTATCACCTTTTCGTTCGGTACGTGGGTATGAATTACTATGCTCAGTAGAGGATTTGAGCTTAAAAGGTTGGAATCTTTTACATACATAAACACATTCAATTGCATAATACTATGACGAGAAAGACAACCTTGGCTCAAAGGAACTCTGAGTTTTTCATCTTTCTGTTTTTTCCTCGTAATTACATGATGAATGATAACACTTCAGATAATAGATTTCTAGCTTAATCCACATGGAGGCAGAGTAGCTCGGCCGCTTGTAATGAACAAAAACCATATGAACAGACTTTGATTAATTATGGTCACTTTCAGTTTTAAACAGAAAACAGAGCATATCCCTTGTCAGATTCCATGTTAGACGTACGACTGCTGCCAAAATGGGCCCTGATCTTGCCTCCTTTAATCAAACTTTTAGATTGTCTTTTATTCACATGACATCCAAAGCTAGAACTGCTTTCCCCTGTTTTGATTATTATTTGTAATAATCTGCTTGCCGCAGTGATATTAAATCATGAAAATTTAAAGGACTTGAAGACAAGGAAGGGTTGCTAATACGGGCAAGTAAAGCCTAGGTGTGCCTCCACGCGTGCCTTTCCCCGCACAAGACTCGACCATGTGCGTTGACAAATTAATCTGATAGCTTAGCCTCCTCGAATTAAATTAAGACATAGCACAGGCCTCACAGGACTCCCGGTCCCTTGTCCTCTCAACTTTACATCGCCCCGAAACACCCCGAAAAGGGCAAGGCAAGTAAATATTTCCCTTACATTAACAGAGGAAAACATACATACTCGAATGATCTCCAAATACGATCATTCTCATAATAGAGAATACTTGTGTAAGATTACAAGAAGGGAAAGAAAGGGAGGGGAAAAAAAAAAAAAAGAATTAATGAACATTGAGGCAATGGGATCCTGAAGGCCTAGGACTCTCCGAGGACATCAAGAGTTGTTCCAAGTAATCTGAGCCGAGATCTTCCAGCACCACCACATTGTCTATTCTCATATCTCTGTCATCCACCTTGTTCTTCTTCTTGTTACTATTCACTTTTCTTCTCAACGAGTGCTTTCTCTTCAGAGCCACCACCGGCGAGCAACCTTCTTCTGATCCGTGGTTCATCTCTTTTAGAGACTCCCTCACCCTCTCCACGGGGAAGTTCAGTATCGCCGCCGATCCCCTCATGGAAAACGCGGCTTGATCGTAAGCTAAAGCCGCCTCCTCTGCACTATCGAAGGTCCCCAGCCACACCCTTATGCCGTGTCTGGTGGAATCCCTTATCTCTGCCGCGAATTTCCCCCAAGGGCGCCGCCGTACGCCTCTGTATGTCTTCTCCTTGGGAGTGGCAGCACCGCCCGAAGCAGTGGCATCGGAGCTGACCTCCTCCTCCTTGACAGAACTGAAAGATTCATCGGAGCCGTGATTGTGGTTGGCGTTGGAAATCATGCCGTAGAGAAGCATCTCGTCGGGGTCATTCTCGTTGAAGGGGAGGTAAGAGTTATGGAAGTTGGAGGAGAAGAAGGAATCCGAGGACGCGAAGGAGGAGTCGGAGGAGAAGTCGGAGGTTGGGGAGTGGAAGATTGAGAAAGAGGAGTCCATGGAAGAGGGTGATGATGAGGAGAGTGAGGTGGGAAGAACAGGGTGAGTAGGGAGGTTGCTCTGTTTTTCGGTAATGCAGCGAGCGGCTGGCTGGCTGGCTGGCTGATGGTATCCGAAGGAATGGAAGTGGCGGGGCTTTATATACCCGTTTGGTAGGGGTGAAACGGTAAAAGTCGAGTCGCCGCTCGAGATAGATATTCATCCGTTACCTTTTGACATGGAACAAATTGTTTTTGCTTAAAGTAAAATATTTATGTAAAAAAATTAAAAATCTGGTCAAAAAAAATATTTATGTAAAAATAAACAGAATATTGAATTTCTTATTTTTGGTGAATATAATTTAAATTCAGTATAAATAATATTCATTCACTCATTCAGTTGCGCAAGGTTTAAATAACGAAGTTATACAGTTGATAGTATTACATACTACATGTTCTATGCTTTATTTTAAATATATGTAATATAAATGTATTTTTATTCATTTGCATTTATCTAATATTAAAGGTGACGAAGATTACAAACCAAAAGCTCAATCGCATATCAGATGTTATATGATCTATCTAATAAAAAATGGCTTGCAATTTCTGAATATTATGGTTTGTGTTTTGTCCGGTTCCTATATTGTCTTTTCATGCATTGTTTTTAATTCCGCATGGGATCTACATAATCTGTCATGACTTTTCTTTTACTCCAATACTGCCATCATTTAAATACTTTAAATACAAAATTGCTTCTATAGTGTACAAATACACACACGTCAAGGGCAACCATAGCTTGTGATGTGGAAGGCAAGTGACATGCATCTTTTAATTAGTTGTGCTATACATTATTTATCAAATCAAGTAGCTCTTATATCAAAACTAAATTGAATGTAAGACTAGTTTTTATATTAAAGACAGAATGTCGTATTAAGTTTAATTAAAAGAAAAAAAATTTAATGTAAATTTTTTTATATATAAGGGTAATAATTTTTTTCGACAAGAGACAAACACTAATACATTAAATTATAAACCACACTAACCCACGATTCTACTTATTCCTCTGATCCTATTTATAAGATAAAGAGAAAAAAATTTATTTATTTATTTATAAGTCATTTCATTAAATTTTCAGTGTGTCTTTCATTTATTATAGTGTAAGTAATCATCTCTTTTAAAAAGCGTATATATTAAATATGAGCAAAGTTAAAAAATTATTATATTTTTAAAAAAAGTTGATACATTTTAAGATTTTTTTTTTTTATCGGCGTGAAATTATAAACCGCACTACACCCACGATTCTGCTTATAAAATAAGCTCCATGGAACTGAATTTCAAGTTTATCGACAGAAAAGGGTCAACAGGGAGGCAGGAAATAACAGAAAAGAAAGGGAAGGGAAGGGGATAGGGTAGGGAGAAAATAGGAACACGTGGGTCAATCGGATGGCGGCCTAGTCAAGGCTGACATCACTGGATGACACCATTTTCCTCCTAAATTATTTTTATTTTTGTTGTCTTGTTTGGGGATCTCTCTTCCCACTGGCCCATCCCATTATTATTTATTAATAATTTATCCCACCCACTCACCCCTCAACACACAGAAAGTAGGCTTTTCTATTGGACCAGGCGGGCCAGCCCACTTGGACTCTTCATTCTATTTCTGCTCTTTATCCGCAAACCATTTCCCCCTTTTAACTCGAAAAACATGGATTACTCTATCTTGATTAAGATCCACATTTGTTGTGATTTATGATTTACAGTCATATATTTAAAAATAACCATTCATTATTGTCGCTGGCGTTTGCGTTCTTTAATCACCGATATATAAAAATCTAAAAGATATGCAGAATCTCCCTTAGAATTAATCGTTTTTATCAGAAGTAATTAAAGAGTGCTTTCTTTATGAATTATACTACACCCATTTCAATGAAAATCATTCCAAGCCTGAGCTGTGAGAGGTTGACGTGAATAATTTTGAGTGTACATTTTCACTTTGACCTTTCAATACATTGCATCAAGAATGATCAATAATTATAGACGGAGAAAATAATATACACCTTCCTAGATGCTCCCTGTTTAGGCCTCACTTTAATCACACTCCCAGATGCGATTTCAATCGTGTGAAAAGAACATGGTTTAACTCTGTTTTTTTCTAGAACATAATGGAAGCATATACTACAGTTATTTCATCCTCCTTCAAAATGTTGATTGGTTGGATCCCCTCAAACATTATTTTACCTCTTCATATATTCACTTTCCAGGTCTAATCCCTTTTTGGAGACTATTAATGTAAACAAGCTGAAAATAAATTCCAAACAAAGAATCGCATCTTCCATCACTCAATTATTGGTACAGTAGTTATAACTTGGAAGAACACAGAACCCGCCGCTTGTTGCGATCTTGAATTCTTCTTCTTTTTTCCCCCCTTTTATTAGTGCATGCAGTTAAATAATTGTTTTAACCGATTACGAAAGCGCCAAAATTAATGTCGCATCTTGGTGAAGATAGATGAAGCAAGATGATAAATTGAATGCATAAGAAATGTGTAAGAATCATGTGTGTGGGTATATATACTACTTCCAGTTTTTATCTTATATTTATCTATAATTTTAGCAATACATTTGATTTGCAAAGATATTATAATAAATACAACATATATTTATTACAAAAAAATAATTTAACTAATTTTTTAATTAATTTAAATTAATTAATTAATTAATTTTTACATTAAAAACCGGAGATAATTTTAATTTTAATGTAACCAGAGAAAGAGAAAATATTTAATTAGAATTTGTCGATATGCATATAGAGAAATGATGTAACTTTGGCTGTCCGGACTCATGGAAGTGACAGGCTTAGGGTGGGTGCTGCTGCTAGCCACAATTCATATGGACAAAGACGTGAATTTTAGGATCATTTGAACAGTGAAAAGAGGTTGGCCTGTATGGCCTGCCTAAGCATGACACGTACAAAAATTGATTTTCATCAACACAGTGTCCGATTATAACTTTATTTTTTATAAAAAAATATTTAAAAATCCTCTCTCGCTTAACTTCTAATTCAAATTCTCCTTCTTTTCACTGCCGCATGCTAGCGGAAATAAAGATTATTCGGTCAATAGCGGGGAAAAACACTCTTTAGATTTGATGTAATCAAAGTAGATTGACAATATATATAAATATATCGAATTGCAAAACAAGAAGTAGATAGGAGGGTTCCTGAGCAAGATAGGCGTCTGTTAATTGAAGTGCTCTGTGATTAATGTGCCTGAAGCATGTGAAAAGGTTTAAAGTATAATCATAGATTGCTGCGAACGGATGAAACCATGCACTGAATTACCAAAATTGAAAATGACCCTTTAATTATCTGATGATTTCCTAGGGGATGAAATAATGATTATGGCTAGAATTAAATATATAAATAAAAGGCTAGAGATGTATAGAGGTAGAGTTTGGAAAAAATGGTGCATTGAATGGTCCAGGTACAGGCCCCCTTGAAGGAACTGTGAAGATCACAGGTCATCAGAAAACTGCGATGGCATTTTTGGCTAAGGGGTTTTTGGAAGTCCTCCCAAAAGGATGGATACTGTTAATTACTTATCTGATAATGACTTTCCTTTTGGCATCTTTGAAATTCAAGTCTTTCTCCTTTCTGTGTAGCTTCCCGGAAATCCCATCTTTGGGACCCATATTCTTATTTTATGGTATTGCTAAACCATCTTACTCTCACAAAATTGCCTTTCAAATTTAGCCACCTTAGCTTTGCGGTCCTTCGTCAATTACCAAGACTATTTTCCTTAGTTCTACTCCAATAAATCACTTACAGAATTAATTTAACCATTTTTTTTTTTCAAACAACTTCAAATTTACGTTTTTTTCTTTTTCAAAGGACAGTATAAGGCTTGTGATTCATTCAATGATATGAGTAACTTTTTCCACTATGAAGTGCGAGCTTTTTAGCATTAAGAGTAATTAGGCAATTAGCTGAGGTCGTCACTGGAAAAGTTTGCTTTCCTGTGACGAGACTTTATTGCTGCCCCTGGTTCTTTGTATACGAGTTATCATTAATTATTTTACTTGAATCAAATTAAAGAGTTCGCTAGATCATTAATTTTAGGGAGAATTATCAGAAAGTTTCAAAAAAAAATTAATTATTAAAAAAGCCCTAATGATTAATGACAAATGACCAATCTGAACATCAATTTTGAAACTTTTTATTACTTACTTTTTACTTATCGATAGATTTCAGGATAATTAAGTCACATCCTTATAATTTGATTGCAATTCTCTCTTAATTTTACCCGTAATTATTTTTTTAAAAACCTTCCCATTTTAAAGTATAAAATGAGTAAATAAATAAACTTTTTCGTAATTAAATCTGCTCCTAAAAGTTTGGAAGAGGGATCGGTAAAGCACACTCCTTTCGGTTCTTGTTATAGGAAAAAGTTTTAGTTAATTAAAGCCTTATTTTATCGCTGGCAAAAAAAAAAGTCTTATTTTATCGTAGATACAAGTTAAAGATGCGATGACTAAATTCATTTTTTTATTACCCCTCTTTAATTATTTTTACCAGAAACCCCTCTTTAGTTATAGTACTAAATTGTTGTCCTGCTTTTAGTTTCTAGACACACTTTACTGTGGAGTAGTTATTAATATCGGTTAAGGATAATATTGAGAAGTCATGTATTTTTCTATAAGTTAACCATATTAATTACCATTTCTTAATAACCATAAAAATGGTTAAATATATCCTATAAATAGAAGCATAAAGACCGGCTAATAGCACTTCATTTGATAACTAGGACTTCTTATATATGTATTTTTCGCCGAAAAAAAGAACTTCTTAATTAAATATGTAGGACCACGCATTACCTTTAATTTAGAACGTGTCCAATGACACAAAATCTGGGGGGATTAAAATATCGTTTTGGTGGTTAAGTTAATGAATTTCTCCAACAGTCACAGTTGTCGCGATGATTAGCCAAAATCCCAGCCTCATGTTTAATGTGGCTGGAGGGCAGTAGAGGGAGGGAAGTTTTTAATGAATTCAACTTTAAAAAAGAAAAATTATTAAAATTTTAATGAGTTCTATTTAGTTAGTTTTAAACTT